AGGAGGTTTTTCTCGCCTTTTTCCTGTGAAAAAGGCTTTTAGTCGAGTTGTACGGTGCCAGCAAGCCAGTTAGTGACTTGGGGAACGTTACGCTGACTCCGCAGGAATGAATGCTGTAAAAATGACGACACTTGGGAGGAAAAAAAGCTTTGTACTGCGGTTTGTCATTTATTCACCGCGTTAAAGATGCGATGAAGTCCCGGCTAAGGCTCTCCCCCACCTTTCCCGAGTGTGGCGTAAAACACCTCTGTGTCACCGCAGACTGTTCCTCTCAGGAAACAAGAGGAGCCTGGTGAACTGGTGTGAAAGAGCAGGAAAAGCTATGGGCGATTCATAACGCTGTAGTCATTTGCTGGTTTCTGGGGGCTGTTTTCTTCTTGTTTTTCAGTTGTTTTTGGTAAGAAGCTGTGATTAAAATTGAGCCTAGGAGTTGCCAGGGTGTGGGTTTGTATGCCCGTACTTCAGTGGTTGATAGCCAACCGGTTGGCTTCTCTCAGGTTTAATTATTTCTTTTTAAAATTTCCTGAGCTTCTGTGCTGTAGGAAGAAATTAGTAATGCATCTTTGTATCTTCATTCGAGAAACGGTCACTTTTGCTTTATGTTTTTTGGCTTTTTTTCTTTTTGCTTTCTTCCTAAAATAAGAGGAAGACTGCAAGCTGGTGCCTGAGACTGGACCACTAAGTATCTTTACAAATTTAACACTGGGTGTTCTAATTGCAAATGGAATTTTCTAGAATTTAGATCATTGGTCTGGGCTGAGACTTGTTGTCATTACTGATTTTTGTTAAATTTGGTATGGGAGTTGTGTGGGACAAAATAAAAAAAGGAAACCCCCGTCGCTCAATTGATGATCTGGTACACGATGGTCTCTGATTCATGCTTGTCACGAAGTCAGAGGTACATGGGTGCGGGAGACTCATTTAAGGGACTTGAAACTGGAGTTCTGTAGTGGTTAGGTAATGACACTGTCGGTGTTTTTTGACTGCTGTTCTTCCTGGATGCTTTTTCTACAGCTGCAGGGAAATCGACATTTGTGAATATTCTCAAGCAAGCTGATGAGGAATGGGAAGTTGTTCCTGAGCCTGTAGCTAGATGGTGCAACGTTCAGCAAAACTCTGAAGAGGATTGTGAGGTATGGTAAAAGAAACTAAGGTGGAACTCTTGAAATTTAAAGAAAAATGACACAAACCCAGTCGAATGTCCTTCTAATTTCAGGAGGACAATACATCTGATAGAGGAGGTATTTTACAGAACATATGTGGTAGCAACATTTTCGCTGATTCTTATCATAATATTTGAGTTCCTGTTTTCCAGTCTGCTGTGTATATTACAGAATAAATGTTATTCAATATCAGGGTGTAAATTGTAAATGTAAAAAAAGTGGTAAAAGCCTGTTCTATTTTATGTATAAAAGCAAGGGATGGAAAAAAGTTAGGCAGAAGTTACTTGTAACGACTGTGAACTAACCAGGTCAGAGCAGAGGGTTGCCCAGGTGTCCTCTGAAGTGTGTATGAAATAGCGAACTACTGCTAAATTGTTCATAGTGTTGTATTTCCTGTCAGCTACCTGTAATTCTGTTGGCAGTCCAGCTGCTACCTAGTGGCCAAAGTAATCGCTGTGTAGACAGCTTTTGATGAACTCTAGAAGATTTTTCTTTCCTAGATCTGGCAAAAAGTACAACATATTTTTGTTAACTAAATGTAAACTGTTAACGGATGTGTGTTGTTTCTAACTTTTCCTCAGCTACATTTTTTCAGAGTTAGACAGCGGTCTTTCTTTTTTTCATTATTCATGATTGAACTTGAAGTTAAGAGTTTTTTTATGAATTTCCTGTGGTGTGTTGACCCCAGCCATCAGCTAAAGACCCGCACAAACACCAGCTCACCCCCTCAGCAGAGCGGAGAAAAGAACAGCAAGAAAGAAGGCAAGACAATTTATGGGTTGATATAAACACAGTTGAATAAGCCAAGGGAAGAGGATAAGAAAAGAGTGACGCAAAGGCAATTGCTTACCTCCTAGAAGCAGACCAATGCTCAGCCAGTCTACCCTGGAACACAAACCCCTCCCCACCTTCCAGTACCTGAGTTGAATCACTGAGCATGACGTTCTGTGGTGTGGAATACTCCTCTGGGCAGTTGAGGACAGCTGGACCGGCTGTGGTCCTCCCACCTTCTCACCCACCCCAGCCCATGTGCTGGGGGGCGGAGTGGGAGAGAGAGGAAGCCTTGATGCTGTGCAAGCACTGTTCAGCAATAGGCAAAACATTGGTGCGTTGTTAACGGTGTTTTAGCCGCAAACACAAAACAAGTCACCGTATGGGCTGTTACCAAGAAAGTTAACTCCATCCCAGTCGGGCCCAGTAAATTTAACATAAAATTTCAAATCTGTCATAATGCCTGAAACTGATGACTAATTTGCTCTTTTCTCCTTTTGCTTTGGCTGGTTTGCAGAAATAATGATGTTATAGATGACTCGTAAAATCAGTCAGGAAACACTTCAAAAAAAAAAAAAGGTTCCTAAAGACATGACTGTACTCCATGTGTGAAGCTGTTTGTGCGTGTGTCCGTAGGTATCTCTTCCAGTCTTGTGTCCACTGACAATAGCTTGAGCTGTTCCCCTTGGTTGTTGATATTTTACGCGGAACAGCAGCAGCAGCTGCCGCAGTAAAACACCACAGTATTGCACACCAGTTTTGTTTCTAGTGAGAATATTGTACAGCCTGAACAATAGGCCTTTGCCTCTTTTTTCCTCCTTTTCCTTCCCTTTTTTTGATGAAAGTTATCACCATTCAAGACCTTGATTATTGCTTTTTTTTTTACTTAGTTGAATACCAAAAAGTAAACTTTCACTTTTCCATCTCTAACAAAGCTGGTACTTTCATTGTCCCACAGTACTGGGGGTAAGGGGGGAAGATTTGGGAAGTTGCTTTGTATATATATGTGTGTGTGTTCATAGAAGAAGGTGTGTCTTACTGCTTTTGTAGTTATTAGTTCTTAGGAAAGTTGCATCTGACATACTGAAGATGGCTGAGTACGGTGCTTTTTGATACAGTGTTTTTCAAGGATATTGGAATCGTTTCCAGAGGATAGTTCTATATAATTTATTTTTTATTGGTGAAACTAGTAAATAAGGGTCTTGTGACTCCTGAAAGGTCACTGTAGCTGCATCTTCTTTACTTGGTTACGGAGTAGGAGGGCATATCCGGGATAGTGTCCCCTGTCCCTAGTGGACTTTGGTCCCATGCCAGCTAGGACTCTTCCAAGCAGTTCCTAAGCACAGTTTGGGCAGTAGGATAGCCCCAGGACTCTGTCGAAAGTGCACAGCAGGTAGCTACCTCCTTTTGCAGGCTCAGAAACTTCAGAGCTGTGGATATTGCTCCTATAGGAGATAGGTGTTGACCTGCATCTATAGTTTTTTGAAAATATGTCAATATTTGGATTTGGTGTTCATGTAGCAAAAGGGTTCAGACAGCAGCAGTCATCTTTGGTAGGCTGTGTTTTCTAGTCAAAACTGAGGCACACAGCCTTCCCTTTCCATCAGCTTTAGCGGCTGCCTCGAGGTGTTTAATCTCCCTCGTGGGCTGATGGAGCTCTTTGGCCTGGAGTCTGTTCTGAAGCTCCCGAGTAAGGTGAGACCATAATCGTATGTTAAGACGTTGCGTCAGCAGCTGTTACCATAGGAACTGTAATTAATAGACGGAAAAACAAAATGAGCCCAACGTTAAACTCACACTTATCTGAGTAGAAGCAGCATGGATTTTTCTACAATTTTGTTAACTTTTTGTACCGATAGGATGTTGTTCTTTTATTAACGCTTGTAAATAAGTGATTAAAGCATTTTGGTACTTGAGCATTTGGACATTGTCGATTGCAAAGAGTTGCTTATTCAACTCAGTGCCAGAGGAGGAATAACATTACCGGTATTTACACCATGTATTACCAATAGGGTTGAGAGGTAAATGATGCAATTGTAAACCTGAAATAAAGGCTGAACAGCTTTAACGTAGTAGAGCAATTCTGTTTTACCTTAATGGTCCACTGTTTCAACTTAAAACGTCACTGTGTGTTTGTTTTAAAACCAGGAGCTGACGGCATCACAGAAGAGTGGTGGAAACGTGCTTCGGATGATGTATGAGAAACCAGAGAGGTGGTCTTTCACTTTCCAGACATACGCATGTCTCAGCAGGATCCGGGCTCAGCTCAGATCCCTTGATGGCAAACTCAGAGAGGCGGAGAATCCTGTCGTCTTCTTTGAGCGATCTGTCTACAGTGACAGGTATGTTGGACTGAAGTCTTTAAAGAGGAGATCAAAATTCTCCTAAGTAAAAAGCATAAATCAATAAAGCAGAGCATAATGGAGTTTTGTACCTCCTTTCGTCATAATTTTGATACTGGTCAATCCCAATAACCTGAGTGGTTTGTTACCTTTCTCTCCTTGGTGTTGACGGTGAAGTAAAATTATTGGTTTGAGGGTTTATAGTGTTGTTGCATAAGCTTGATTAACTACATGTATTTTCTCATTCTTTGTGGGTAGGTGTTTTATGATTTGTGCACGTTTCCTCTCAAAGAAATGAGGGCAGTAGGCCTCGAGAGGAGTCAAGCGATACTATTCTTGGTCACTTAGTCTTGTTTTCTTTCATGCTTCTTGGATCAGGTCTAGCTATTTGCTGTTGCCATACCCTTGTGTTTCTGGATTGGGAAGGTTAGATTCGATGACTAAATCCCATCACATAATCCCTAGGTCTTCACTGTGTTTTAATATATTGTAAATAAATGACCACGGTGTACAAACCGCTGGTGGTTTGTAGGTTTGTCCTGAACAGGTACCTGAGCCGCAAGTTACCTCTTTTTGTGGACGCTACTATGGGCGACCGCAAAGGATGTAGTTACAGGATGAAGCTACCAGCTGTTTATTTCCAGTCTGAGCATCCGTCAGAGAAGTTACAGAATTACTACCCTCAGCTTCCTCTCTAGTTACTGTGCTGTACTTGAGGCAAACAAAGTGATAACTCTGTTCAAGTTAATTTTGTTCACATAACTGTTTTGTGTTCACAGATATATCTTTGCAGCTAATCTATATGAGTCTGACTGCATGAACGAAACTGAATGGACTATTTACCAAGACTGGCATGACTGGATGAATAAGCAGTTTGGTCAAAGCCTAGCGCTGGATGGCATCATTTATCTTCGAGCCACTCCTGAGGTGAGGAATAAAAATTTATGACCGCACAGAGAATAAGAGTACATGTTCTAAGCCTTGGCTGTAAAATTTGACCTTTGTCTATGCTTCCATAGTATTTTTTTTTTCCTAAGGAAAAAAAAAAAAAAACCCAGTAGGGTTTAACTGTGATTCTGGACCTTTTTTATGGTAGAAGAATAATAAGCTTGCAGTCAACTCCAATAAGATCACAATTGTGTGTCATTGCATACCGCTGTATCTTTGTTTTAGTGATTGCTTTGAATGTCTTGGGCAAGGAAACAGTTGAGAAATTGTCCTTGAAATGTAATTTTCTCAAAATCTTGAGCTACTCTTATCTTTCCCTGTAAAAGTCCTAATGATTACATATCAGTTCAGACTGTAGTATTCCTCTGAAGACTAAAATACTTGAGTTATGAATAACACAGTCTGGAAATACTTTAAAAAAAGTTCTTTCAAGTGTAGCTTGCATATTTTGGAATAAAATGTGATAATAATGATTCTCTAATTATAAAAACAGAATCTATGACAAGAGCAAACCAGAATAATACAACCGGAACTAAGAAAAGAAAAAGGAAAGTACGAAATAGCAATAGGAACACTGCTGTGATAGATATAACAATTCCTAGTTAATGTCACAGCTGATTTGGAGGGCGGTGTGTGTGTGAAGCCCTTTCACCTGGAGCGGTGGAGCTAAGCCAGATGAATGCACCTACTGTATGTGAGACTTTATGATGATGCTTTGATCGTTGGGCACCTAATATATTTTAAAAGGAGAGAACAACATAACGAATACATCTTTGGAGTATGAAACTTACATGAACAAGATAAAAACATAAGAGTTTAGAAGGGCTGTAATTGCAGTAATTAACTTACAGGTCGCTTCCATACTTCCTTACTTCCAATTTTCATGCTTTTGACTTTGCTGTTGTTGTAAACAACTGTGTAATGTAACATGCTGGAGCTTCTCTGAGGGCTTTTTCACTAGCCTTGCTATGAAGGTTTTTTTTTAGTCCCGTCTTTAAGTCAAAGATGTGTATTTAAATTACAAAGTACAACAGTTTTAAACAGTTTTGATTGGCTTGTTATTGAGGCTTTGGATGTGTTCAGGACAGGAACAAGTGATTTACTACATTTGAAAAAAACGTTCCCAAGGGCCAGAAATAAATAATGAACTTTTGAAATGCCTGTCCGTAATGTCAAATGGATATTTCTGCTCTCTTCATGCAATAAACTGGTACCCCTTCTTTTAATAATGAGCTTGCTTGAGACTTTTCCTTGTAGTGGAAAATAACACAATACATTTCCTTGGGTCCTTCTTGGATTTTGCATGTAGTCTGTGGGCTCCATTAGCTCCATGTGGCATAATGTTTCTATTCTCGTAAGGTAGTTAGCAGGTTGAAAATTCATCTTTGGCAAAGAGTGGCGTATTGAGCACAGTAGGAAGGGTTGGCAATAAAAACCAAAACACAAACTTCAGCGTTCTCTGTAGGTCTGCAGAAACAACCAATTTTTTAAAAAAATGCCTTCTGCCTTTAGAAATGCTTAAATAGGATTTACTTGCGTGGAAGAGATGAAGAGCAAGAAATTCCAATTGAATATCTGGAGAAGCTTCACTACAAACACGAAAGCTGGCTTCAGCATAGGACACTGCGGTAGGGTTTGTTTAATGGTTACTTAAAGATGGATAATCTTTGTAAGGATGTTCTGTAATCCTTTTTCCACCAGTAAAACTTCAGCTTTTCCTAGGATATGTAACGTTAAACTCCAGGAATATTTTGATCTATGCTTCTGTAGCAGTATTGGCTTTATAGCTTGTTAATTCTTGCTAGAACGCGCAACGTGCCTTGAGTTGTCTTCACGTACAGCTCTGAATAGCAATGGATTCAGCTGAACTAATTTTAATACACAGCTGAATTTAACGTTAGCTGCTGGGGGAACAGAATGTTCAAGAATCAGTAACGTATCCTAGGAGCCACACTGTAAATTCAAGCTGCTTCATATTCGGAATTCATAGCTGTGATTTATAGATGCAGTTCTTTTCATGAATTTCAACCATGAAAATGGTGACAGAGACTTGAATGACGTATACTTTTTTCAGCTAATAATATTTTCTTTGTTCCTATCCCAATACAGAACGGATTTTGAATATCTACAGGAAATACCTATTTTAACATTGGATGTTAATGAAGACTTCAAAGGCAAAAAGGACAGATATGATGACATGACTGAGAAGGTAAAATTTGATAAGAAGAACAAACTGATGATTTAGGTTTATTGACAACATGTCAAAATGAATTCAGGACACTTCTTGCATCTCAAAGTATAGCATTCTTTGAAGTCAGACTAGGCTTAGAACCTGTGTTTGTTCATGCTATTTCCTACATTAACTTTCCATTAAAAAAAAATGGGGGGCGGAGGAGGAAGGAAATGTTCCAGGCTTGTTCGAGATGACTTTCACTAGTAGCTTTGTTTGCAAATATAATTTCTAATTTAAATAGCCCTCAACTGTTTAAAAGCACTGTTATTTGCTACACCCTGCTTCTGGCAGAGGGAGAGAGAAAGAATGCTACACAGGTCCGAGTTGGATGCCTGGGGTCAGTCAAGTGTTCCTTGTATTAGGTGTGAAAGCGTCTGACCTACAGTGCTGGTCAGTAAAAGAGTTTCTGTTCCAGGTACTGTGAAAATAGAGTACAAAACCATTACAACGGAAAATTGAAGGATGATTTTACTAAACCTGCAGCTGAATTCTGATCCAAAGCAGTGAGCCAATGGCAAGCTATTTTAGGTGTTGCAGATACTTCTAGGTAAAGGAAAGAGAGCATGGGCTACCCTCTCTCTGGCTAGCATGTCACAGCAAAGAGCAGTACAGCTAACGCAAATAGGGATTCTTTGCTCTAAAAAATATACTTCACTGTGCAGTCATCCTTCTAAAACATTTAAATCGTGGAGTTACATTCAGATAATGAACAGCCTTACAGCCTGCTGCAATACTGCTTATTTTTAGTCTTGTTTATGGAATTGGTATGATCGTTCAAGTTTTGCCCTTCAGGTGTGTGCATTAGAGCGTTATTCAAAATCCTAGTCAAAAGCAGTGGTCTGAAACTTCAGGGAGTGCTTTTCAAATGTAGCTTTTTATTTTGTTTGGGAAGTAATGCTGAGTATATAACAAAGTATTTTCCAGTTTTATTTGAAGGCATGGAAAACAAAAAGTCTAAAATACTTGAAGTTGAGATTTCTATTTGCATTAAGAAGATCTAATCCTTAGCACAAAAAGGTTTAATATATATTTTTAAAGCTAGGCCAAGCCATCAACATTTTAACTGTTCAGGTGTCCAGTGTTTGAATCATGATGAGATTCAGCTGAGGACAAGTTATTTTTACTTGAGTAGTTGCAATGAGTTACAGACCTTAGCAAGGGTATGTGCACATTTTTCCGCTCTTTGGAAAGAAATTGTTTACCTCACGAGAAAAGCAGCTTTGTCCTTTGATCTCAGTTTATCCACTGAGGAGTAGAACTGTTCACCTGATTAAAACCAGCCTTCGTGGTATTTGCTCTTTTAAAGCTTGTTAATTGATGGAACGACTGGACACAGCAGCTGTGGAGTAAATATGCTTCCCATCTGCACCATGAGATAAGCCTGAGCTCAGGTACCTGAATAGGCATTTCAGAGCAGTTTACTCCGTGAGCTGTCGGGTTATCTGGGAACAGCCTAAGCCCCGTGTTGGCCTTTTTTTTGGCGTTTGCTCAGTGGAGTCCCAGAACTGCTACGCTCTTTAGGAGGCTGGGTGCTTTGGTCTTTAATGTACGCTGATGTCCAGTGGGGCCACAAAACCTGTCCGTTTCCTTCTCGCCTCTGTTGCGATGCTTGTTTTCAGAGGCCGGTCCTGAAACTATGCCTGGCATGTGGCTCGTCATGGGGTTCATCATGCAGTATTGCTGTTGTGGAGGACGGCTTTCTCGTGATACCTTTCAAGTTAGAGTGTGTTGGCACAGTTATGTGTTCCCTTCTCCACGTGGAGGGATTTGACCTCTTCCCCACCCTCCTTTCGCCCTGAACTAGGAAGGGAAGGGTCATAGTTGGAGAATGGGATCCAAGATGTGTTTCCATTTTGCATCAAAAAATTGGACAAAACATTTACAGATGCGCTCTGTGTATGAGAAACTCTGCCAAAAAACAGCATGTTCTCTAGCGAACTGTCGATTCCTTTCTCTGCAGTGGTCTAGCTTCAGTGGACAGAGACGAAACTGCTCCCAGTTCAGCCTACATCACGGTGTAGGTGCTAGGATGCTCTTGAAACTGAGAGATAAGAGTTGTGTGTCTAGAACCTGTATTCCTTGGGTCTTGTATATGCTGGGTGGTTGTATTTTAAACAGGTGGCTTGGCCCTTGCTGCCTCCGCTTCCTACCCCTAGGCTTTAAAGGGAGTCAGTAATTACTCTTTTATTTTGGGGGAGGTGGCACAACAAAAAGGCACGCGTACCTGTGGCAAGAAGCGCCTTCTCAGCGCCTTGTCTTCCTGCAACCTTTGGTAGTGACCTGAATTTAAGATGATGTCTAAACTGACCACACTCGTGAGTGTAACGCTAGCCTGCTGCTTGGCACACTGCCTCTTTTTGATCCAGTTCCCGTGCAATTGCGTGGATTATTTGAGGTGCTGTACCGAGTCTTGGTGCTCTGTGTAGGACTTCTGACTCAGGGTTCTAGACAGCATTCTATGGGCCAGAACTTCACTATTAACTTTTAGGTAGCTGAAGCTACTCTTCAAATACTGGGAATGGAGTTAAACGGTAGCTGAAATATTTACGGCATTGTTCTACAGTATTGGATTTTTTTTTCAGATACCATGGTTTTGCTAGATATTATTTTATTATTTATTTGCCAAGCTCAGATTCCAAGGAACATACTTGTTAGATGCGTTGGATTGTTCATCGACATGAAATATGAACCGTGTTCTGGTAGTGGGTGTGACTTGATGTTTTTCAAATGTCAGGTCTTTTGAGGTGGTCATTGTCTTCCTTGTGTTTAGGTTAGACTTGCTTTTAAGGGGATTTGTTTACGATGTAGGGCCGTAGTTTAGGACCACGGGAGGAATGACCGTCGTTCCAATGCGTCTCTCTCCGCACCTGCTAAATTACAGGTACCGTGGCTGGAAAAGCTCTTGATGGGCAAGAAATGGCATAGCCGAGCCTAAGATTATTTTTCCCATTTCCTGTTCCTGTAGGTAGTAGTAAAGCATAAAGCAGTGGAGAAGCAAATGTAGCTGCTGTATGTTTCTGTTGGTAAATACTTTGTTTGATTGACAATATTTGTTTCTTTTTGCAGGTCAAAGAATTTTTGAGCACGTTATAATCCTCTTTGAAGCACAGGCAGAGTCAAACTGTTCCAAACATCTGTGCGATCAAAGTCTGAAGTACAACTTCTGCTTTTATAGAAGGCCTCTGGAGAGGCAGGACTCAATCCTGTTGATTTAATTGTGAGGAACAAACAAACTTTGTGAATAGGAAAATTATTAAATAAATGAGTAGGTCTGTTCAGTATTGTATTAAGTAACACACACAAATTCTGAGAGTTCCCAAATATTGCACCTGTTTTTAATCAGACCAGTAAGCTCATCTGGAGTATTTTATTGTGGTTTTTCTAAATTTATGTTGTGCCCAGTAGCTATTTAATATTCAAGAAGGTAGTGTTTTTTCAGCTCTCTTGAGTGTTTTTTTTTAACGGAATTGACTTGTAATGGATGTCTCTGTTCTGAGGAAGAAAAAAGTAAAAACCATTTTTGATGGCGAGGGTATTTTAATATAACTTGGAGTATTATAGTGTAAGGTATAAAAAAAGTAGTCTGACAATTTTGGTAGATCAAGTTCTTCACAGAATGCACTGAATTAAAGCAAAGCCAAATATGTCTGAAAATCTGTAGATCTGTCACATTAGTTTTTATATCTGTTTTCATTGTGTGCTGCAAACTAGGATATTAAGAGGCTTTCCATTCTTTAGCACGTTTGGGTTTTCCCCACACACACTTTTTTTTTTTTTTTTTTTTTTTTTAAAGCTCTAAATACAACAGAGCTGTGTTTCGTTGTTGGCAAGTCCTCTTTTCCTGCAGAGGAGTAGGTTTGACTGACGGGTACTGTAAAACAAAGCAGCAAATTTTGCAAATGGCGTCCCTCTGTAAATTATGTGTTTCCAAGCTTTTCCTTAATCATGTTTTTGGATGTTGGAGGTGGCTTCCTGCTTTTGTTCCAGCTTCTCCGTTTGTTAACTGGGCCTTCTCGGTGCTTATCCAAGATACTGCAATATTTGAAGTAGGCTGTCCTTTATTGTCTTCTTGTAGTAAGAAGGGGAGACCTTTGTGGAGTTGCTACTGTTGTAGTGCATCTTGTTTTATTAACTGAGCCACTTCTGTTTCAGGTGCAGAAAATACAAACTACACAGGGTACACGTCTCAAGTACTGTGTTTTATGAGCTGCTTTGTTCTGCTTTAAACTGAATGATTGCACAGCTGCCTTTTGAATGCTAAATTTTATTGTAAAGTGGTGCCTGTGTTACCTGCTAATTTGATATGATATTTCTTCCTTTGTGGTTGGAATTGTGCTGGTGTTCTCTCACCGTTGACTGAAAAATAAAAGTGGTTGGAAAGACTTTTTCAATACTGAATAGCGTTGGTTCCCTCGTCTTATAAAAGAACTAATGTTGTAGGTTGCTGGTACGTCATACAGGTACAATGGATGAATTTAACATTCTGTGTTCTCAGGGTATTTGGTGTACAAGTTGTCTAAGATTTCTGAAAGACTGTGACTGACTTCAGATTTTTTTTTCATGTATGGGAAATGAGCTTGTGGGATAGAGACACAGGACTACAGAAAATGTATCACATGTATACCTTACTGATCAGAAGAAGTGTTTTGTGTAATATCATAGTGGAATGTAGCAATAGCACGGTAGAAAAATCTTGTTTTGGACTTGAGGGTTGTGTAGTAAAAGGAAAGATTTTAAGATTTTTGCTCCAGAAATGAAGTGAGGTGGAATGGATGAAGATTCGGTTCAGATTTACTTGAAACGCATAGTAGAAGCCTTTAAAACACTCATAGCAACAGTCTGAACAGTAACAACTTACTTTGACTAACAGTGCCATTATTCCTACGGTTTCAGCTGTCAAAATTGTGGATTTAATTACAGGAATTTGAATGACAGGGCTCATTGCAAGGAGTAAACAAGTCTGAGTTCTAATAAAGACTTCTTTTGAAACCCATCACAGAGCACACAGAAATTCCGTGGCAGGTTATCTGCATCCTCTTCCAGAAAGCTTTACAAAATCTCTGAATGCCAAGTTTGGGTTTGAAGGAGCAAAGTCATGACCAATTATTAGAATGTTTTTAATTGCTGTGGAGAAAAAACAACAAAACCAAAACACACACCCCAGCTGCCCCCAAGCTTCTCAGGGCTTTGAAACTAGCTGGGCTGAAGTATGTGAAGCTGCAGTTATTTGTATGTAGGACAGACATGGCGTAAGCAAAAGCAGAGATGTCCTTAGACTCTTCTGTCTGCGTGTCGGCTTAAACCTCACAGCCCTAACGGAACCTCAGACTTTCAGATTTGTCAGTGTTCTGTTCTTTGCTTAAATCGATTCCCAGGCTACCACAAAACAGGATTGTTGTGTTGGGTTTTTTTAGCCCATTAGAGATATGGAAGGTTTTTGAACTGATACCTACTTTTTGGCGACGATGTTTTTTCACTCTTTGAGTGCTGTGTCCTTTTCCCTTGGGTAAGAGATACTTTGATGGAACTGGCTAGAAATGCTTGCTTGTTTTAATCAAGTGTCATCACGATCGGGAAACAAAATTGGTATGTGGCTTTTGTTAAGTTTTTTCCAGTTAGGATACAGATCCAAATATTGATTGGTAGTGTTTTAATTGCTGTGCAAGTACACGAGTGAGCAATGGGCATAGTAGTGCCTCATTTAATTTTCAGTCGTAGTTGTTTTCTGTTTAGGGGATTCTCTTAATATAAATGTTTCTTAGAACAGCAACCAAATTTGTACATTGATTTTTTAAGTCTATTTTCTATAATTTTGTGCCAGCTACCTATTTCTACTGTTTTCCGTTTGTTTTAGCAGACTTCATAATAATGGAGTTGTATATAAAAAGAGGCTAGTATTGATATTATTCTGTTCTTTTTCCAACAAGTAAAAACTCCGGGAATCTCTCTGTAGAATAAAAATGACACAGGAGAAATTCACCATAAACTGTTAAGCACAGACCAGGGAAGTATGTATGTAGTAATAGTTAAGTTAGATCTTAGGAAAAAACAGTGTGTAGTTGCTATTGCCAAGAGGTTTCAGCATAGCTAAGTGTCAGGACCACCAAGGTAATTTTCCCAGCTCCCATTTAGACTCGCTGCGTGACCGTTTGGAAATCACTCTTTACCTCAGCCTTTTCATCTTTAAAATACTGATATCTCCCTATGTCTTCAGAAGGCTGGGAGGATTAGTTAGTTAATATTGATGTGCTGTCTTGTAGGCCTGAAGTGCTCAATTAAATAATCGAGAATGAAGGCAGCCCTGGTTTTAGATTTTTCACTGGGACGTTTTGGTGCCCTCATGAAAGGGGGTCACTGGCCCAGATTCATGGCCAATAGAAATGATTTATTTGTTTTAAAAGATATTCGAAGCCATTGGTGCACCGTCAACTGTGTTGAAATGAGTTCTCTGAAAAATGCTGCTACCGAAATCTGTCACCGTTTCTGCGGAGAGGAAACTTATTACAAATTTAATCTCAAACTAAAAACCGGTGGCAAAAACTGTGCTGCCGTCCCTGTGGGCAGCGGCAGCGGCGAAGTTATGTGCGGAGTCTGCCACGCGAGGTCATTGTGTCCTCAGTTCTCGCTTGCCGAGCTGGCTGCGAGAAGAGCGCTGGTGTTCGAACGGTGAATCACTTGGGAAAAGGTAAAGAAGGAAGAGGTCACTTCCTCGCTTTGCCGGAGCAAAAACATTAACCTGATTAATAAATACTTCACTGAATGAGATAAATCTTCCTCTGGAGGGAGGCAAATAAAGCAAGCCCCCGTTGGATTAAGTGGAAGCCTAGAAAAGGCTGAGCTTGTGGGAGGGGTTTTGATGCCAGAAGGTCTTCCGTGCAGCCACCAGCTGTTTCTGTTCTGTGAGTGAATATTAGCACATGGATAATGCTAATCCTGATGTGTTTGAGCGATAACAATCTTCTGACGCTGAGCTATCGGGCCCGAATGCAGACAGCCAGCAGTGCTAATGCTGGCAGTGTGCTGGGAAAATAGAGCAATTACGAATTATTCTAACTGAAGTCACGCACTGTACTTTATGTGCCAAATATAAGCCTGAACTGGGTGCGGCTCTTGTGAAATTCTGATTGAAATTCAGTAGTGACAAGGAGCGTGGATTCCATACTGGGAATAAGTGGTAAAGTGATTTGTTTTACCTTAGGCTGGTAATTGGTGTGGGTGTAAAATCAATGTAATGCGCAGAGCATTGTAACTGTAGGCTGTTGTGTGTAGGTGACTCTTGTTCTTAGGTCTAGGTCTCAATCCATGGTTATAAATAATAGGACAGCAGCACAAGTAAGAGTGCAGAGCATGCTAAATCAGAATGTAGACTATTGCCCATTTCCTGGATTTCTGCTGGCTGCTCTTCCCAATCTCTTGGGCAGGGTGTACGTTATATATATATATCTTGTCTCCAGCATGTCAAGGTAGTCCAGCTTGCACCATGTGTGTTCGCTGGCTAAAGGTACTGACCGACTTACAAAAAGGCAGTTGGTTTCTGGGAGTTATTTACAAAGACGTTGCCACTGCAGTTCATTTGGAGTACGTTCCTGTGCTTTCTCCAGGCTTTTCTGTCCCGTGTGTTCTGCTTTTCTCTCCAATTTCCTGCTAAGTTGTTGTGACTTCTAATAACTACTAAAAACATGATCTTGTACAAGTTGTTATAGCCAGAATTTCACTAGTATGCAGCCTACTTGAGGACGTGGCTTCTGCCTTTGTTCCAGTTGGCTATCTTAGGTTTTCTAGTCCTCTTTTTTGAGCACTTCTTCTGTGTTAGCCCACCTGATTGCTGGGGCTCTTCCTAACTCTTCCTGGCTTCGGCACCGTCTACGGGTGGATGCTGACAGTGTGCTCTTTTTTTTTTTTTTTCATAATTCTGTTCCAATTTGCCTCCGCTAGTTTCTTAAAAGGATCGCTATTGCTGTCTGATAAGTTCCCAGTGTACCTTTGGCTTTGCCTTCTCTGTGGGGCTTGCTCATGGCCTTTACCCTGACCCTCTCAGCTGTGTACAGTGGCCTCAGGTCGTTGACTGTTTTGTTGCAGCAGACTGCTGATCTGGGTCGGCCGCCTGTGTCCTGCCTGTCCTGCGCCTCGGGAGGAGAAAACCTGCTGGCATAGAAAGCAGGACTTGACTTTTTAGCTCTCTGTTCCTGGTCTGCTCTGCTGCTTGTTTCATGAAGGTTTGTTGGAACGGTCTGGCGTAGTTGGGTAGGTATTTCATGTGTGCTTGTCCCTGTCAACAGTCTCTTTGCTGTCTCTGCTTTATTACTGTCTGGGGGATAGGCAACGGACTAAAAGCTTGTTTCTGTTGCAGTGTGCTGCGGACGCGGTCTGACGATAGCTTGTTAGAATGCCGTAGCTTTTACGGCCCGCTTGAACTGCGCTTCTTGCTGAAGCGTGCTTTAAACATTCTGGTTAC